CTCCTCCTCCTCCTCCTCCTCGTCCTCCTCCTACCCTCGCTCTCCCCTCCACCCCCTCCTACTCTTCCTCCTCTTCTCCTCCTCCTCCTCCTCCTCCCTCCTCCTTCCTCGCTCCTCCTCCTCTTCCTCCTCCTCCTCCTCCTCCTCCTCCTCCTCCTCCTCCCCCTCCTCTTCCTCGTCCTCCTCCTCCTCCTCCTCCTCCTATTCCTCCTCTTTCTCGTCCTTTTCCTTTCTCGTCCTGCCGCCTTCCTTCCTCGCTCCTCCCCTCTCCGCCGGTTCCGATGGTTGAAAACGTCAGGGCTGTCCAGTTCGCAGTCTGTTGTCTGATTCTGAGCCGCTTGAAGCGAAAAGCTCTTTGCCCCAGCGCCTTACTTTGCCTCGGGCAGAAGAACTGATATGGCAGCTGACGCGGCTCTCTACTTGTTCATACTTATCCGTAAGGGCTTCGCCCCCTGCCGCTGGCCCCCTCTCTCGGAGAATGGGCCATGGAAGAGCTAAGTCATGAGGCCTTGGCGCTGTCGTGAAGCAATATCGAAACATCATGCGAAGCCGATTCGCAATCAGCAGAACCAACTGATCACAAGAGGGGTTACCACACCTGGCGATTGGTGAGACGTGTATGGTTTACGGGCTTGGTTACCACACCTTGCGATTAAAGGGCCGAGGGAGTTCTCGCAGTTTGGGTTACCACGCCTTGCGATGGATGTGCGTGAAGGGTGGCGCCGAATTTCAGAAATGTAGCACAGTCCCCAGTGCCCTGACCCCAATCTGCGTAAGGGGTGGCGCCGAATTTTGGAAATGTGACCCTGACGCGGATCTGCGTGAGGGGTGGCACCGAATTTCAGAAATGTGGCAAATCCCCTGTGTTTTTGGACCCTGACCCCGCGGATCTGCGTAAGGGGTGGCACCGAATTTCAGCAATGTGGCAAATCCCCTGTGTTTTTGGACCCTGACCCCGCGGATCTGCGTAAGGGGTGGCACCGAATTTCAGCAATGTGGCAAATCCCCTGTGTTTTTGGACCCTGACCCCGCGGATCTGCGTGAGGGGTGGCACCGAATTTCAGAAATGTGGCAAATCCCCTGTGTTTTTGGACCCTGACCCCGCGGATCTGCGTGAGGGGTGGCACCGAATTTCAGAAATGTGGCAAATCCCCTGTGTTTTTTGACCCTGACCCCGCGGATCTGCGTGAGGGGTGGCACCGAATTTCAGAAATGTGGCAAATCCCTTGTGTTTTTGGACCCTGACCCCGCGGATCTGCGTGAGGGGTGTCGATTTCGAGCCCCCCCAGCAATTCAGACAACGCGCCCAGGGGGTGCTAAAAAGCCGGTTTGGGCCTCCCCCCCCCTCGCGCGGTCAATCAACTAGTTACAGTAACCAGCAAAAAGTCAACTAGTTACAGTAACCAGCAAGAAGCAGAACTGTAACACTGGAAACTACAAGCTACAACTGGTACAGGAAACTGCAAACCTCGCGCCTACAGCCTGGTGGCCCCACAAGGGGGCCGGCGGATTTGGGCTCTCTACTCGTTTCTCTTTCTTTTTCTTTCATGGTCCCAAGAGGGCCCCTTAGGTTTCCAAGAGGGCCCCAAGAGGCGCCCAAGGGATTCCAAGGAAACTCCCAAGAGGCTTCCAAAGACTTCCAAGCGGTCTCAAGGAGGCCCTCAAGAGGCCTCAAGAGCCTCTCCCCCCCAAAGGCAGCCAAGATGCTCCAAGAGACTCCTGGGACTGCCAAGAGACGCCCAAGACGCCCCGAGAGGCCTCCCAAAAGCGACCAAGAGGGGCCCCAGAGGGCCCCAGGAGGAGATTCTGACGGTCCCAGCCAGAGGAGGGGGCTAAAATCTCAGGACCTGAGTGGTTTTGATACTCCCCTCCTCCAACCCCCTTCTTCCTCTTCGGTACCCCCTACCCTTGGGCCTGGACGGGGCGTTTCGCGAGCGGTCAGAGCGTCCAAGATGGCCCAAGATGGCTCCAATGAGGCCCCAAAAAGCTAAAGATGACCTCCAAGATCGCTGAAGATTGCCCAACATGGCCAACGATAGCTTGCAACAGACCTTGAAGAGGCTTCAAGACGCCTCCAAGACGGCTCTACTTGGTTAAAGGGCCTCCCAAGGACGCCCTGGAGAGGCCAATAACCGTCCAAAACCTAGTAGAAATCAATGTTGTTGGTTGCCTTCTCGCCCTTTTGCTTCCGATGGGCTTCTGAAGCCTCGAGATGCTCCGGTATGCAACCAGAGATCCCCAAGAGGGGTCCAAGAGAGGCCTAAGACGGCTCCAAGAGCGCCCAAGACCGCCCCAAGAGCGTCCCAAGAACGTCCCAGGAAAGCTCCAAGAGGCGATTTTGAGGGTTCCGACGGGGGGATCTAAATTGACGCCGCCTTCTTTGTTGGTTGATGGCCTTCAAGATGGCCCAAAAGAGGCCCAAGAGGGGCCCCAGATGGCTCCAAAATGGCTTCAAGAGCGCCCCGAGAGGCCTCCGAGAGACCGAAACGCTTCTAAAATCTTAATTTGCCAGCCCCACGGGCCAGAGGCGTGCTAAAATCTCCGGTAACTGGTAAAAGATATTTCTAGTTCGCGCACGCGGGCCGGCCACTGGAATTCCCGGGACGATAAGTACCCTGGCAAGGTCCCGCATGTCCTGGGGAGGAGCGAGGATCGACGAGGGGTCGAGCATATCTAGCTCGAGGGGAGACCGAGGCGGCGAGCCGACCAGGAGCATGCATCTTGATGGGGTCGAAGAGCACATGGAGGATCGAGAGGATGCTCCAGGAGCGGCACGGGGCGTCGAGATGGATGTGGAGGACCCCATCCCGCCCCAGCCGCTGCTGGACCCAAGGGGGGGGGGGGGGGGGGCGAACCCTCGTGGGGCCCGTGGCGATATGGGTTGTGTGCTCAGCCCGGTTCCCCCCCCCCGCCGGGGTCCCGCAGCGCCGGGGTGGGGGGGAGGGGCCTCCGCCCCAGAGAAGGTTCCAGGAGCGGGTGCTTGAGGAGGGTCCGAGGCTCGAGGAGGATCGTCGTGCCGTCAAGGCCGAGGATGCGAGGATCGAGCAGGATGCGAGGATCTGGGAGGGTCGAGAGGATCCCAAGGGCCCTGATCGATCTGGACGCCGCCATGTTTTCACACTGGGCGCTGTCGCCCGGATTCCAGGCCCCGGTCGACCGTCGCGGATCGGTCGGGCCCGAGGACTGCTGCAGACATGTAAAGTTTCGGGAGGGGAGGTAAGCCGGGTCTCAACCAAGGCCGGGCTGTGGCGCAAATTCCAGGGACAAGCAATTGTCTTGGAGTAATTCTGTACACCACGCGCTGCCATCTGGCACGGGCCAAGGGCTCGCCCCTCCAACAGCCTTGCGCATCGAGAGCAGCAGCGGTGCAGCGCGCGTCACCAAAGCAATCTGACAAGGTCCTCCGTGCTCTTTGGGCGACCGCGTGAGTTCTCCGGGCCTCCTTGAGGCGGAGCTTGGCTTCGGTTGTTTTCCTTGCGCCACCGAGGGTGAGCGACCGTTACCGCGGGCGGTCGGGGGCAGTGCCCCGGGGCCCCCGCGGGGCCTCCTTGGGGGCTCCGCGGGGCGCGTTTCCGCCGGGCGCCCCAGGATGTCGGCTTCGCCCTACAGCGACGGCGTTGTTGTAGGGCCCCTGCACGTGGAAAAACACGATGGAGATAACGAGCTGCACATTGCGTGGTTCGGGATACCCAGGCACCCGGCAGCCAGCTTTTCACAAGCGAGGTCAGGGCAATTTTCTCGGCCAGCCCCACCTGGCCCCGAACCCCTCCTTTCTTCCCTCCCGACAGGTTCAGAGATCTGGTCGACGTTGAATTTCAGGGAGGGTCGGGGGTTGATCTCTTTGTGTATGATCGCGCAGTCTTGGCGCCCAGAGGGAACGCCCCCAGAGCCCTCTGTCAGTCTGGTGGGCTTGTTTTCCACCACCACCACCATCAGCAGCAGGGGGAGGGGGTCCTCCTCCTCCTCCTCCTCGTCCTCCTCCTCATCCTACACTTCCTTCCCCCCTCGAACTCATGGTGGTGGTGGTGGTGGAAAACAGTCTCAACATCAGCCACCTGGCCGTAGCCTTCGAGCGAAAGGGGGCGCCAGGACTGGGGCGCACAATGGCACCCTCCAGGGCCCGTGCAGACCCGCCAGCCGTGGGCGCCGACTTCACTGTCGAAGGGAGTGCGGGTGGGTCGCCCCGCTGCAGGCGCCGGCTTGGGTGCAGCAGTGTGTCGGGCGGGTCGCGGCGCGGGTGGGGCACGGCGTGGGTGGGTCCCTGGCGAGTCGCGTGTGGGTCACAGGTCGGTCGCGGGCGGGCAGCATCTGGGTCGCGGCACTGTCCGTGGTGTGAGGACGACAGCAACAAAAGCAAGAGCAGCACGCACCGTGAGAATTCCCACCAGGGGCTGTACGGCGATTCGGCTCCCCTCTACTCCTGGTCTAAAGGTAACCCTTGCGTTTCATGAAGTGCGTTTGCTCCATGATCCAAACAGGAAGCGCACGGAGCCGATGTATGTACAGTCAGAAATCCTTTGTGTAGTGGCGAGGTGTGTGGAGGTGAACGGGGAAGGAGGAGGATGAGGAGGAGGAGGAGGAGGAGGAGGAGGAGGAGGAGGAGGACGGGGAAGGAGGAGGAGGAGGAAGAGGAGGAGGAGAAAACCAATTCGGATCCAGACATGTGGCCTGCGCTGGAGAGAGAGCGCCAGTCTCGACGACAGGAGCACAGCACCCATTTCAACGAACCAGCGGGAACACAGTTTTTGAAACAGCACATAGAGAGAATGGTGCCGGAGAGGCGCGGGGGGGCACCGCTGCACATTGGCAGGGGAGACGGGAGAGAACGGCACGGTAGGGTGCGGCGGTGACTCAGGCGCGAGTCTTGAATGCTGAAAGCCGCAAGTGGCCTAGAATCGGCCGACATCGACCGATTCGCGCTATCAGTGCACGCGGTGTGAGAAACCAACGCACAAGTCGCCACGACCCTAGCATGCCGTACTACGCACACGTAGCGCAGGGGAATGGTGTAGCGCCCAGACCCGTCGGGACCTCCCGGTCCCCTGGGGATGGCCACTGGTCGTCTTGAGCGCGACCGCTCCCGGCTCGAGCTCTCGCGCCTCGCTATCCGCGAACCGCCTCCAGCTGCCCGCAGCCGGCCCTCGCGGATGCTTTCGGCGGGACAAGCGGCCACGGTCCTGCTCCGGAGCGATGGCACCGCCGTGGCCTGCGGCTGGAATGACGCCCAGTGCGAGCTCCCGGCGCTGCCCGCGGGCCTCACCTACACGCAGGTCGCCGCTGGAGGGGATCACACGGTCCTGCTCCGGAGCGATGGCTCCGCCGTGGCCTGCGGCTGGAATGATGACGGCCAGTGCGCCCTCCCGGCGCTGCCCGCGGGCCTCACCTACACGCAGGTCGCCGCTGGAGGGAGGCACACGGTCCTGCTCAGGAGCGATGGCTCCGCCGTGGCCTGCGGCCGGAATGGCAACGGCCAGTGCGCCCTCCCGGCGCTGCCCGCGGGCCTCACCTACACGCAGGTCGCCGCTGGAATGAGGCACACGGTCCTGCTCCGGAGCGATGGCACCGCCGTGGCCTGCTGCCTGAATCATGACGGCCAGTGCGAGCTCCCGGCGCTGCCCGCGGGCCTCACCTACACGCAGGTCGCCGCTGGAGGGAGGCACACGGTCCTGCTCCTGAGCAATGGCTCAGCCGTGGCCTGCGGCTGGAATGATGAGGGCCAGTGCGCCCTCCCGGCGCTGCCCGCGGGCTTCACCTACGCGCAGGTCGCCGCTGGAGGGAGGCACACGGTCTTGCTCCGGAGCGATGGCACCGCCGTGGCCTGCGGCTTGAATCATGACGGCCAGTGCGCCCTCCCGGCGCTGCCCGCGGGCCTCACCTACACGCAGGTCGCCGCTGGAGGGAGGCACACGGTCCTGCTCAGGAGCGATGGCTCCGCCGTGGCCTGCGGCCGGAATGGCAACGGCCAGTGCGAGCTCCCGGCGCTGCCCGCGGGCCTCACCTACATGGCCGACCTGTTGCCGGCGATGCTCCTCCAGGCGTCGCTGGACGGCGACACGATGCGCTTCATGACCTTTGGCGGGGCGGAGCGCTCCAGGTCCTGGGCCGGGCCCGGCGCTCGCCTCGCGGACATCTACGAGCAGCTGCTGGCCGACCACCGCGCGGGCAGACTGGGGCCCCGAGCCTGGCGGGTGGACGCCGTCCTGCCGGGCGGCCGGCTTCTGAGCAGCGCGGCGGCCGAAGAAATTGTCGCCGAGGCCTTGGAGCTTCCCCGTGCCACGTAGCGATACAGAGAGACATTCCGATTCCGGGGCGGCGCAAGGTTGCGAAGATGGCCGCGCGTCGCACGTCGCGCGGCGCGGGGCGCGAGGTTGGGTGGCCCAGGCGGGGCGAGGAGCCCCGCGAGATCTCCTTTCTTGCGCGCGTGGTTGTTGCCCCGCCTGCCCCTCATCCTCACGGCCTTCTATTCCGAACCCCTCCAACTCCTCCTTCCTCCCCCTCCCCCTCCTCCTCCTTCCTCCTCCTCCTCCTCCTCCTGCTCCCCTCTCCTCCTCCTCCTCCTCCTCCTCCTCCTCGTTCCTCCTGCTCCTCCTCCTCCTCCTTCTCCTCCTCCTCCTCCCTCCTCCTTCTCCTCCTCCTCCCTTGGAGGTCCAGGCCTACCTGGCTGGAGACCCCGCCGGGGGGCCCCCCGAGAGGTCCGTCCGCGCGCGAGGCCTCCACAGGCCCTGGGGCCGCACGCGGGACTCCAGTTCCGCTGCCTTGGCGCCCGCGGTTGCCCGTTGGGGCTGGCGGGGGGCTCCTCCTCCCTCCCTCCTCCTCCCTTCTCCCTCCTCCCTCCCTTCTCCCTCCCTCCTCTCCTCCCTCCCTCCTCCCTCCTCCTCCTCCTCCTCCTCCTCCTCCCTCCTCTTCCTCTTCCTCCTCCTCCTCCTCCTCCTTCTCCTCCTCCTCCCCCTCCTCCTCCTCCTCCTCCTCCCTTGGAGGTCCAGGCCGCACGCAGGACTCCAGTTCCGTTGCCGTGGCGCCTGTGGTTGCCCGCTGGGGCTGGCGGGGGGGCTGCGGTGGCCCGGCACTGGTCTCAAGTCGGGCCTGTCCTTCTACAGGGGGAATATTCAAACATAGTTTTGATATCTGTATGGATATATATATATATATATATATATGTGTGTGTGTGTGTGTGTGTGTGTGTGAATTCTTGGATTAGTTGTTGGCCATGTAGGAGCATTTGTTTCGTATTGTTAGTGTGTCGTCGAAGATCTCCCTGGAGGGGGACGCGCCCGACTTAACACTGGTCCTGGCCTGCAGGCAATTCGAGCGAAGAGAACTATGCACATGCACCGATCCTGGCAAGGCCCATCCTTGACCCAGGATCGGTGCATATGCCTTCCTGGCCAAGGTAGGAGGGCGTATGCACCGATCCTGGGCTCAGGATGGGCCTGGCCAGAATCGGTGTATGTGCATAGTTCTTTTTCCTCTAGCAATGGGGAGTGGGTCAGGTTCGAGGTTCTGGGCTCGGCAAGGTTCGTTGTCCTCGTCTGTCTCTGGAGGCCGGGTTCGGGCCTGAGCTGGCAGAGACGGATTTGGGGTGAACAAAAATGCACCAGATGGGCCCCGGGAGGGGTCCAGGGCCAGATTTCTCCGTGTGTTTGCCCGTATCCCTCGTCTTGGCCGATTTGCTTGTGGCACCGAGCTCAGACCCTGGTGGGCTCTCACGGTTCGGTCAGGCCCGAGGAGTGTCCCAGGAATCTTGGGCCCAGAGATATCCGGGCGCGATGTTTGCACTGTTGCACTGTTCCGCGGCGTGGTTTTTTTTTGCAGGGGGGTCGGGGGTTGATCTGCGTGCGTATGTCTGCGCAGTCTGTGTTTCTGGAGGGGGCGCCCCTGGAGTCCTCGGAGTCCATCCTTCGGCCACCTGGCCCCTGCCACACGCAGCTGGCCTCCCGAAGCTTCGGCCAAGAGCGAGGGGGCGCCAGGGCTGGGGCGCACACAACTGGCGCCCTCCAAGGCCAGTGCAGACCAGCCCTTCAGATCTTCGGCAGCAGACCCCTTTGGCGAAATCTCCGGCGAATCTCCGGCGAAATCTTTGGGAAGCGACAGCTCCGTCGAAATCTCCGGGCCATCCCGCCTGGCCGAGAACCGCCGCAAACGAACTCTATTTGAATACTCCACGCATGGAATTCGATTGTAATCCTCTACATAGGAATCTTAATGTAATCGTCCACAAAAGGAATCCTTTTGCAATTTCCTGCAGACGGATTCCGATTGTAATTCTCCACGATTGGAATCCGATGGTAATCCAAGTGTATTGCGGCACGTGGTCGCATGGGGTCCGGGGTGACACGTGTCACCCTTGTGCTTTTTCACGCTGTATCATGTTGGCATCCGTCCAACAGTTGCTTTTGCCCAGACGGTTATCGGGGTGACACGTGGCACCCCTGTGCTGCGTCACGCTGTATGGTTCCATGCTTGCACCCACAATACGAGCGAAACGCATGTTTTTTTTTCCCACGCGGCTTTCGGGTGTGAAGCATGTCACCCTTGTGCTGTTTCACGTTCTATAGTTCCATGTTGGCGCCCAGGATACGAGTGAAACAATCGGGTTTCCCCACGCGGTGTTCGTGGTGACACGTGTCACCCTTGTGCTGCTTCACGCTGCATGGCCACATGGTGGCATCCAGACTACGAGTGGAACAATTGGGTTGCCCACGCGGTTTTCGGTGTGAATCGTGTCACCCTCGTGCTGCTTCACACTGTATGGTCCCATGCTGGCAGCCAGAATACGAGTGGAACAATTAGCTTTCCCCACACGGTTTTTGGGATGACACGCGTCATCCCTGTGCTGTTTCACGCGGACTACCTCGGGACCCCACCGCCTCCTGGGGGGCTTGTGATCTGCGCATCTGTCGCCACTCTCGTGGGCTCCTGGGGGGCCCAGCGGAGGTACGTCCCACGCGGACCACCTCGGGACCTCGCTGCCCCCTGAGGGGCCTGCGATCTGCGCAACTGTCGCCATTTTCGGGGGCTCCTGGGAGGCCCAGCGGAGGTACGTCCCACGCGGACCACCTCGGGACCTCGCCGCCCCCTGGGGATTTGCGATGGCTCCTGGGAGGCACAGCGGAGGTGGGTCCCACGCGGACCACCTCGGGACCTCGCCGCCCCCTGAGGGGCGTGCGATCTGCGCAGCTGTTCCCATTTTCGTGGGCTCCTGGGAGGCCCAAGCGGAGGTACGTCCCACGCGGACCACCTCGGGACCTCGCCGCCCCCTGGGGGGCTTGCGATCTGCGCAATTGTCGCCACTTTCGTGGGCTCCTGGGAGACCCAGCAGAGGTTGGTCCCACGCGGACCACCTCGGGACCTCGCCGCCCCCTGGGGGGCTTGCGATCTGCGCAATTGTCGCCACTTTCGTGGGCTCCTGGGAGACCCAGCAGAGGTTGGTCCCACGCGGACCACCTCGGGACCTCGCCGCCCCCTGGGGGGCTTGCGATCTGTGCAACTGTCGCCACGTTCGTGGGCTCCTTGGAGGCCCAGCGGAGGTGGGTCCCACGCGGACCACCTAAGGACCTCGCCGCCCCCTGAGGGGCTTTGCGATCTGCGCAATTTCCGCCACTTTCGTGGGCTCCTGGGAGGCCCAGCGGAGGTACGTCCCACGCGGAGCACTTCGGAAAATCGCCGCCCCTTGGGAGGCTTGCGATCTGCGCAATTGTCGCCATTTTCGTGGGCTCCTGGGAGGCCCAGCGAAGCTGGGTCCCACGCGGACCACCTCGGGACCTCGCCGCCCCCTGGGGGGCTTGCGATCTGCGCAACTGTCGCCACTTTCATGGGTTCTTGGGGGGCCCAGCGGAGGTACGTCCCACGTGGGTCATTCGGAGGTACGTCATACGCGTTTCTTTCGACGCCCCTGTGTTTCCATTTTGTATAGTTGCCGTTCCTCTTATTGCTGCGCTCTTCTGAAATCATTGTTGGGTGCTCTTCCTCTTCTTGCGCACTGCGGGTCCTTCAGACTGCCAGTCAGCATTGGGTGGTCCTGAGTATAATCGCCACATGTATAGAAAGGATTGGGTACGTCACAGGGTAATTATTTTTGGTTGCACCATCGGCAGAGAGAGAGAGAGTTAGAGAACAAGAGAGAGAGAGAGAGAGAGAAAGAGAAAAAGAGGGAATGAGACAGGGAGAGAAAGAGAGAGAGAGAGAGAGAGAGAGAGAGAGGCGGAGAGATAGAGAGGGGGGGATATCGGAACGCCCCCCCAGGAGGCAGGAGGAAGAGGAGGTAGGGAGGAGGAGGGATAGGAGGAGGAGGAGTAGGAGGAGGAGGAGAGGAGGAGGAGGAGGAGGAGGAGAGAGAGGAGGAAGGGGGGGGAAGGAGGAACGCGGAGGATGAGAGTGAGAAGGAAGGCCAAGGGGGACGTGAGAGGAGAAGGAGGAGGGAGGAGGAGGAGGAGGAAGAGGAGGAGTGCTGAAATTGCAAGGGGAAATGATGGAACGGAAAGCGAAGAAGGTGGAAAAAGGAGAACCGTATTTCGCCCGGCTTGACATGGATGGGAGGATGCAGGGTGAGGAGGAGAAGGAGGAGGATGTTCAGAAAGAGAGCGAGGAGCAGGAGGGGGAGGAGGAGAGACTACCCAGAACGTAGGAGGATGAGGAGCCTCCCGTTTTATCTCTTCGTCCCGTACCCCTCCTCTGCCAACATCTGGGAAAGAGCGTGTTCTACCGCTGCTGGCGGAAAACCGGGGGGGGTCACTACCGGTTCGAACCCCTCCCCCCCCCCCCCGCCAGAAAACCAGGGGGGGTCACTACCGGTTCGAACCCCTCCCCCCCCTCCCCCAGTTCATCATGAAAAGGGGGGGGGTCACTACCGGTTCGAACTCCCCCCCCCCCCTCGAACTCGAAAACCGAGGGGGGGGTCACTACCGGTTCGAACCCTCCCCCCCGAAAACCGAAGGGGGGTGCGGACAGTGGTGGGGACGGTGGTGGTGGGGACAATGGTGAGGGGACAGCGGGACAGTGGTGGGAACAGTGGGACAGTGGTGGGGACGGTAGTGGTGGGGACAATGGTGAGGACAATGGTGGGAACAATGGGGACAGTGGGACAGTGGTGGGGACGGTGGTGGTGGGGACAGTGGTGTGGGGACAGTGGGAATGTGGTGGAAACAGTAGGACAGTGGAGGGTACAGTGGTGGTGGGGACAGTGGTGAAGGCGGTGGCGAGGACGGCGGTGGGACAATGGGACAGAGGTACAGTGGGGACAGTGGTGGGGACACTGGGGACAGTGGTGGGAACAGTGGGACAGCTCAGTGGGACAGCGGAGGAGTCAGTGGGACAGTGGGGACAGTGGGGATAGTCGGGCAGTGGTTGGGGCCGTGGAGAAAGTTGGGAGAGTGGAACCGTGGTGGGAACAGTGGTGGGACAGTGGGGACAGTGCGACAGTGGTGGTGGCACTG